TTTACTTACCTTGTCTTGTACATAGTATTTTTTTAAATTATGTCTTAGTATTAAAACGTTATACATATAATTATTTACATAAACGTGTCATAACACTTTATGTATAACGTACATTAAAAAAAAAAAAAGAAAAAAAAAAAAAATTACCAGAGAGGTTCGAAAGCTGGCAATTTTGGCTGTGGCAAAAGACTTAGCCCGCGCGGCTATCGTCGATGGTACTCCTATTTGACAAGATGTCATACGTAAGTTGTGAAAAGTGGGCGGGAAGTAGGTTAAAGGTCTGGGTAGGGGGACTCTCACGCTCCAGCTTGCTCTGTGGAGAGAAGGTGATTGCGCACTGTGCATGCGACGAACTCCCTAAAATCTGGGAGCCTAGCTCGCATTTTGCATTTGTATTAACTATTAGTCAGTAAATAGTGATGTATATGATCTTAGTAACTTGCTTCTTGCAATTCTTGTTCTAAAATTAGATTGACACTAAGGGTAAGAGGCCTTGGGACTCTTGACAAAAGCGAAGCTACCGTAAATATGTGGCAGTGGATAATCTGACATTAATTTTAATGTCTGTAAATACACACGAATATACATGCCAAAGCATACGCACCTGCCCATACAAACCTATCCACGCACTCACGCACACATTTTTCGAACAAAAATTCAACAGTTTATTATTAAATACGTAGGTATACATTGTTTATTGCAAGAAAGTAAATGATAATAATAAAATTTACAAAAATTCTCATCTAATACGAATGACACGATAGAAATCTGTAAAGCAGACATTTACTAATGCAGTGAGGAGAAACCAATGTAGGTGTATGTATATAAGTATAGCTAAGACAACATCTGTCCACTTCCACGTGGTCAAACAGATGCTGTTCTATGATATACACTATTATTTAGGTACGATGAATACATTTACCTGTAATTATTGGTGCATGCACGTGCTTGACAATGCATCAGGATGTTTTAGTTTAGTATTTTATTTTGCTACGAATTTCTCTTCATGTAGGTATGTATTTTTTACCAGTAAGAATAAGCAATAGCTGCAGTAGCTGCCCTGTTGCAGCATGCATATGCTTACATGTTTGCACGCGTTGGCTAAGTTATAAATATTATTGTAGCATATATACATACAGAGGCCAGCTCAGCGAGCAGTTCACTAGCCAGAAGCAGCAGCACTGTATTATACATGTACAGGTACAATTGACAGAAACTGAAGGTTATAGAAGAGGGAGACTACGTGATCATGTCGCAAAATTACGACAGTTATTAGTAAATCATTTACCAAGCCAAAATCCTAGACCTCCCATAAAAAGCGTAGCTTTAAAACTCTTATTTTTTTCAAGTTTTTTGTAGTTTTATTGAGTTATGTATCGTATATTGGTTTTAATAATAATAAACTATCTAGCTTCTGAAGTGCTGCAGATGTAAAGAGATTCCTTAACGACTTAGATGATTTAAAAAATGTGAGAATATCAATTTTTTCGTCCGAGTAAGACTTGAACTAAATGTGGATTATTGCACCTCGAGGATTCTCAGATTGTCAGCAGTATCTTGATCCAGCAGCCTTTGTTGTGATTAAAAAATTTAACAATTAGTTCTTAGTTATTAATATTGACAAATGCTAAAGTATAACTGCATGTCATTTTTTTGTAGTACTAAGACAAATAAATGAATTTTTTTTTTTTACATTTGCAATTAGGTTTCCTAATTATAAGAAATAATAATCAGCTCCTGAGACAAAAGGACGTTCTCTGACAAAATAATTTATATGTCTCTCATGACTGAAAGTAATAAAATTTAATCTACATGTAGACATCAATTGATACATTAAATAATAAACCATGATAAAAATAAAACTTAATGACCTCACTGCTTAAGCTATGGACGAGAGAAAAAGATTAGGAATCAAGACGGGAAGTCATTTTTCTTGTCTTTAACCACTGTTTAAGCAGTAGTTTGTGGTGTTTAAGAGACTTGAGCCACGTATTATCTAAAAGGGTTGTTAAAAAATTGATAATTATGTTATGCTATAAGTGAGAGCATACGATTAACTAACAGTATGAAGTAAGGCTAATAAAAGAAAGAGCTTACTCTTTGCTACCAAAAACATAAGTAATCAGTTTTTTATACTGCAGCTACTAAGCAAAAATTTTGAAAAATTTAAGATAAGTTAATAATACTAATTGAGCACCTCGATCCTTCAGAATCCAACGTAACAGTTTTGGTGCTGGGGTAGGCTTCGTTGCGAAAATGAATTCTTTTTTTTTTTTTTTTCCGTGATATTTCGAAATTTTTGGGCGACTATCGGGAAGCACATTAAGTGCAGTGCAACAACAAGCCCAAACAATTTAAGGCGATTACCTGTATTTACTGGTGAGTAAGGAAGAACAAGTATCAATAACCATTTTAAAAAGGACCGTTATAAAGAGAATGACTAAAGTTATATTGACGCTGATCATTTCGTCCCTTGCCTCAAAATAAGTAAGAATTCCTTTTATCTTCCCAATTATACATACTTATTGTTCCTCAGGATCGTTTCGGAAAGATAAGGACGTACAAAAAAACATAAAAATAAACAAACCTTACACGGCCAGTTTTGCTCATACTAGTAGCCAACAAAATATCGATACAGAATAGAAAATAAAATATGATTTTTTCTATCTTCTCTCTTTTTTCAGTCTTTTACTCCTTCGTGCGTAGTCTAAACTTGACTTACATAATCAAGCTTACATTACTCTATCAAAAGTAATAAAAAAAAGGAAATAATAACATTGTCTGACTACGAGGATGAAATAGACAACGCAAGGGATAATTTAAACAATAGGTTTTTGATAACGCAAAAAAATTCAGATACCGTTTTGCTTGAACATGACGCAGGGACACGGGAGCACAAATCGTATGCACTCTGGGAACAGATGGATAAGAAAAGTCAAGTTCTTATGCTAAGGATATTAAAAAATATAAAACCAACAATTTATTTTAAGAAAAATCCTAGTTTAAATTTAGTAGAGACAACAAATAATACAGCAGAAATAGAGGTGCTAGAAA